GTCTGGGAGCTGGGTGCCATCCTCCCTCCCCACCCCTGCGCAGGGCCATCTCGCCAGCCTGCCTTTCACACCCGCTCAGCACTGCTAAGCCTCACCTCTGTGTGCCAGAGCCAAGACCCAAGGCGTTGTCCGCAGGGAAGCCCCGCGCCTACCTTGTGGCAGATCTGACTGCTGGCAGAAGGGACCTGACTGGGTAAGATGGTGTGAAAAGCACCACAGAAAGTTACGCTGGGGGGGGCAGAACTTGATCCCTTCACAGCCTCTCACTTCCCATTTCTGCTAGGTGACGAGTAAGGCAGATATTGCTACAACTGATTCTTGCCATGGTAAGAGGTTCACATACATTTTCTAAGCAGGTGCTGTCTTTATCCTTGTTGAGGTAATGCTGCTGCCAAAATCGCAGGAGACTGTGGAAGTTATTCAGGATGAAGCCTGGGTATTTTTCTGTATATTCCATCTGTTGCAAAGTGCGCAGATAAAAAGGTAGCTTTTCTTTCCTTCGGGCCAGCATTAGGATAACTAAACTTGTGTTCAAACAACTGACGTTTTCCTAAAAGGAAAAATGACACAGATGGTCAAACAACCACCACAAAAAATACGGAGGTATCAGTTGTACATATGTCCTTACAAAACGTGGTTGTGGTAAGCATGCAGAGGAAATGCTTCTACCAAGAAAGAAGGGACATGGGTCCCTTCAACAACCTGAATTAAATACATGGGTGTCCTCAAGAGAAGCCAGGGTCCTCCCTGCTCCCAGCCCACTCCATCACTACACAGTATCAGCAAGATAACTGCAAAGCCAGTGTCAGCTCTTTACCTGGGTAAGCGTCTGTACATGAATAATATTAATGAGACGGAAAAGGAAGGACATTCTCATGGACATCTGGGACATATATGATAACAGGCGGCACTCTGACAGGACTTCTGCAACTGCAGCAAGAGGAAAAAGACAATCAAGTGCTTAAAGTTCAGACACATTGGTCCAAGTAACATGGCAGTAAGAACTGGTGCTCAGACTGTAGCAGCAAACCTGCAGAGCAGCATTTCTCTGTCTAAAACCAAAATTTTCAAAGTCCCAACTTAAAATAACCTTTATCACTGCCAAACACATACACCCTATTTCTTCTTCTTTACCTTTAGCATCAGACTGATTCTCAAACCGGTCCAGGGACAGCGTAATGCAGCGAACAAGCATGTTTGAGTCAACCAGTGAACTGTTGATCTGATTTAAAAATATCTGGAACTAAAGAGAAATACTTTTTAGTGTAAAACTAAAAAAACCCACACCAAAAAAAAACCCCCAAACACTCATAGATGAGGTCTGACAGAACAGCATTTCATACCCTTTTCGGAACGCGTATGGCCAAGAGGTGTACTAAACCAGTTACTGCTGGGAACAGGTCAGCAAACCCACACTGGAAAAGCTACGAAGGGGGTGTGGCGAGTAGGGCAACAGTAAGCGTTGTCCAGATTTCTGACACCCAAAGAGTGCAGGTTTTGAAGGTTATGGGAGAAACCACCTTAAATTCTGAGCACGAGCACCTCAAACAGGCACTCTGCCAACGCAAGGCTTCGCAGATGTGGATGCTTCCCCCTTCCCTTCAGAAACAAGAGCTGGGTTCTGAATGCCAAAGCAGTCAGGGGCATCACCTTTTAGTGATCCCTAACAACACTCCTGGGCCTGCCCCATCCAGTCCTGGCACTGCGGGCTGGCCAAAGGATCCTATAGCAGGTACCTTAAAACCACTGCGGAACAGAAAAAGACCAGAGTCCTGGCACCACTAGAGTCTCTTTGGAAGCTGTGTCACTTCAATGGGACCAAGATCCCACCCACTGTCTGTTTGGAACCAGCGTGGCTGCTGGCCTCTGGAGTCCCAGCAGCCCCATGTCCTCCTGCAGTTATTTTGTCCAAGCAGGCAGGGCTAGGGAGGAACACAGCGAGGGACTCGTACAGAATGAGAATTAACAAAAATACAGATGGATAAATAGGAAGCACACACAAAGCACACAGACAGATTCCCTAGAACGTGTGGGTTCGTTTACCAGGAAACAACCTGAATTAAATACACCTTTCTTTTAAACACATCTCCGCTGCTATTCTCCAGGCTCTGCCAGACCTAACAGCAAGCAGAGAAAAATTACAGCAACAGAAGCAGGAGTATGAGGTCATTCAAAACGCACCCAACAGCTGATGTTGTACGCACAAAGTGCACGAGAGCCCTTTGCACAGAGCCGTCCATTCTTGATCTACGCATGCAACTAAGTTTTATAGGCAATTACATCAGCCGTGGCTTCTTAAAAGGTCTGTCGGTTCAAACAACAGTTCAATGGCAGTATCAAATATTAATGAATATTGTAAGTCATCTCCATGAAGACCCCCCCCTCCCCAAGCTCCAGTAGAAGCTTTCTGGAGCCCGTCTCGATGCCGACAAATATCAGCTCAGCCTAAATCCAGGGACTTCTCAGGAAGTGTTCTCCCGTCTTTGAGCCCTGACCTGAGACCTGCCTCATCCTGTAGCAGGACAACGTTTTCTGAACAGCTCAGTGCTTCCTGGCTCAGAACAGCTGGGAGCACTTCTGGAAACACGAGTGTGGGAAGCAACATACACGCTTGAGAAGAGACTCCGGCAGCTCACTCCACAGCGTCATTGTGCACCAAGCTCCACCAACGAATCTGAGCTTTTTAGAGCGGTGTTTGGTTGGAGGGGTGTAATTTGACCCACTGACAACAGCTTTTACAAGTATTTACCTTCTCATCTGTGTTGATGTACTTGTTGAACCTTTTGAATGCATCAATATTGAATTTCATCAGTTCTCCCAGAAGGTCAAAGTAACTCTGAAGCACATCTCGTGATTTGCACTCACTATCAACAATGCAGTAGAGAATATGCTGGCATGGGAGGAAAACACGTTACTGCCACAGTTTAGTCTAATCCAGCAGCACAGCTTAGTCTCTGACTCAATCACTATTTAAAACATTTATCTGCAGCTTTAGTTCTTAGATGACAGAACGAAAGACAACAGTTCAGTCTTCTGTTAAGTTACCTTCCCGCTGACGCAGGCTATACAACTGGCCACTCCCCACCTGGTTGACACAAGCAGAATTCACAAATGCTTTTCAAAAATTGCCCTATTCCCAGGGAATATTTAACACTACATTTTCAGGCCCTTTTGAATTCACTACAGCTCAATCCTTCTTGATTGCTACGGAGATACATTACAGAGGAAGCTTGAGATACACTCCATTACCTCCAGGAGCCCTCTCTTTAGCAGGAACATCTGGTCTGCATAGGAGGTGGTGCCTCGCAGAAAACTTTCAACTGCCCTTGCTTGCCAAAACCTGAGAAGTAGAAGAGATGATGTTTTAATTTTGAAGCAAGGGGAGTATTTTATCACAACTATAATTCAATTTAAATTTCCTAATCTGTTTTATCCTAATCTGAAGCTGGAGTCAGACCGGTTGACCCTGCAGAAAAATCACTGACTGTACTGGGTGTGAGGTCCAACGCAAGCATTGGCACGCTCCCTCACCCGCGCTGCCACTGTAGCCAAGTGCAACAAACCCATCTCTCTTCACAGCTTATGAGCTTCAAGGATTTTTAACTGCTATAAGCTCTATGAACACAAACCAACCTCCCAGCCGACTCAAAACAGCACACTGCAGTGCAAAGTGAACCCACCTGAAGGAGGATTCAGCTGGTTCCTTCTTCATGACCTGAAGCAGTCTGGTCAATAAACCTCTCTTCCCATCACAGACAAGACTCCTAGAGCATGTGAAGAAATCACAGCGTGAGTGGAAGGGATGGCAAGCACAGCACCTTGTAGAACACTGAATCCAGGCTCTTCTCCAGAGCTTTAAATGATCAAAATCCCACTATTAAATATACAGAACAAATATTAACTTCCGTTACTATTTCTACCAGTGGATGAGCTCTCACCGCCTTTGGTAAACGTCTGCAGTACCTCCAACATGACTGCCAAATAAATCCTAAAGAAAAATTACTCATTTTCTCTCAAAACTTTAATGCTTTCAAAAATACCAATTTACACCTTGTAGGAATTAAGAGAATAGGAAAAAACCCATATACCACATCTGAGTGTAGGAATGAAAGAAACACTTGTCTTTTTTTCCTCAAATATAAAGGAAGCTCCAGGTTCCATTTAGGAGGCACAGCTGAAATGGAAACCTAGATGCTACGTGAGGCAGCCTTGTTCTGTATGTACCAGTAAAACTAGAGAGGCTGTAGAAGTGCAGTACTACTTGTATTAAACAGCACCTTCAGCGGAGCATCGACCCACAGCAAGCTTGTGCAGAAGCAATGCCCTGATCTCATGTACCAAGAAAAGCCACACAGATACAAAATGCTCCGTGTGAAAACGAAACCAAGAGGCCAGAAAGAGAGCAATGCTGTATGTCTGGCTACACAAAGCATGCTGCAGAGGGGGAATCAGACGCTCCAAGCAGCACTCTTCTACTCAGAACCCACCCCAGCACGACACTCGGCAGATGCACCAGGTCAGCGGCCACGTACTGTATCAGCACCTTGGCCGGGCAGCCGACACCCGGCTGGCAAAGCCCTTGGGGGAAGGAAGGGGTTTTCCTGCAGCGTGACTGTCTGTTCGCACCGACACTTGGGAGAGACGAGAAACTTTGCAGGTTGGAAAAAGCTGTTGACGCCCTTGATCCGCTTCCCTTCAGTGCTCCCTAACAGGGTGAATGCTCCCCCCTAAATACCCGCTCCTTTTCGACCAAAGCCAAAGGTATCTGTGCTTAGAAGGAAAGGAGTACGAGTAATACAGACACCATTTCTTCCCAATTAGGCACAGTATTATGGTAATAATTACAATCTAGAAATCCTCTTAGAGAACTCCCTTTGAAGTGAGGTAAATCCGCTCTGTGCGGACCAAGGCTCTGCTGATACTCCAGCAGTATTCTGACAACTCAATTCTGCAAAGAATGCTTCACCTGGTGCGGTTTGTACATCAGAACTGTGTATGAAAGAGGTCATTAAATCAAAATAGTAAATTTAACAGATACTCAAATGTAACACTAGAGATTCTGTAAGTAGTTTAACATGTTAATCTAATTTAGCTTATTCTAGTTATTAGTTGCTCTTAAAATAAAGACTCTGAGCAGACACACTTAGATCTGTTTATGCAGACTGGAAATGGACATTACGTGTGCACAGACTGCTCCCGAATCTCAAAACTAGGATTTGTTAGTAGCAGCCATCCACGCACTAGAGGGACCCCAGTTTACTTCCCAGGTCTGTCTGCACCGCCTGTATGACAGAGGCCAGACAAACAGGCAGACCGAGCACATCACAACGGAGTCTGTGCCATGAACTCAAACCCTCCATTTTAGGCTGCTTTTGTTTTTAAAACGCCTTACTCTGAGCACAAGCACATTTTGGATTTGCTAATGACCGTGAGTACCGTACAAACCCAGACGCTTCCCGCTGAAACATGTCACTGAAATCCAAGTGTGGCGGAACAGAAGGACTTTGAACAAAACAGGTGACATCGAACTTCCAACCTAAGTACTGGCAAAACACTAGAAGCTGCTGACCTAAGCCCTCCCTACTCACCTGTCTGTGTTGACAACTGCATCAACTTCAGGGATGTTGGCTTTATGGGAGATTGCACTCAGCTCATTAAGTTCTTGGCTGTTCAAAAGGAGATACTTGTTCCTAAAGCAAGACAGTTGGGGAGAAAAACGATGAGTTCAAGGGGCAGACAAACGTGCAATCCCACAAAGAGTAAAGCCAAGCACCTATGAGGGCTGCAGGACTAGACAATCAGCTTTCACCTCTCCGGCTCTCCACAGCCCTTCATATTCTTCTCCCCTCCACCACAGCACGCCCCCAAGGCAGGCCAGCCAGCTGCTGCTTTGTAAGCCTCCTCCAAAATTTCCCTAATGCAAGTTTCAACACTGATCAGCTTTGAGATAGGGGTTCTTTGCTGACCTGTTCAGGATCTTATGGTTTGTTTTGTAAATATTTGCTTCAGGAGAACACTTGTTTTTTTTAAAGCCTCAGCAATATTTTGCTGAATTTCAGAAGACTTAAATAGCAAACTTTTTCACAGCTTCCTTCCTGCCTTACAGTGACCATGCACTTTATCAGCAATAAATCTCAGTTAGAAAGCAGAAACTGCAAAAGTAGTACTCGGTCATCCTGGTAGTTTATTACTCTAAGCAAACTGTTTACTCTGGAAATACTGAAAAACATAATGAAATGTAGAAAACAGAACAGGAATGGATATAAACACAAGGAATCTTTATGAAATTCTTCACCAAATACTGAACTTTTCATAATGAAAATCAATCAATTTATCTGTAAACTAAATTAAAGGCAGACTAAGTTTGACAAAGTAGAAATGTAGTCCAGAGGCTCCCTTTGACAGACACCCTGCCTGATGCCAGCATGCTCCCTTACAGCCCTCCTACTTCAAAGCACTCAAACACACAGCAAAGATTTACTTTCAGGAAACCTCAGGGAGCATAGGATGCAGCGATGAGCGTGAGGGTGTGCAAAGAGAACCTATTCATCAAAACAGCAACTACGCAGAAGAGAAATTATTAGACCAGAAAGGCGAGGGGGATGCCTTCTTGCTTCAAACACTGACTTCCAGATTAGTGCCCACTGAAGCTGTCATGTGAAGCTGCTTTTCATCTGCATCAACAGGTTTCTAATGAAAATACAGCCTCTCTCCACACAATACAGTTCTGGTTTATACACAATTTTACTGAAGTTAATATTAGTATCTAAGTACTTGCTCTCATCTTGCCCTCAGCTAACACAGCTTATCTGTGATTTCATAGAAAGTTCACGTAACTGTTTGTTTAAAAACCCTAACCAGATTGCAGACATTCCGCTTGCTCAAATGCTACAGCTGAAAACTGTTTTCTGTTTAAACAAGCCCGAGATCCTTGTAGCAGCCACTTATGCAGGAACACCATCTAAAGAGATTTTACTGGAAAACCTGGAGTGATTCCTGGGCAAACAATGTCTTGCATGGAGGATTTACAGTAGGTCAGCCTTCCCCTTCTGTTTACAGTATGTCCAGCACCTCCCCATTCTTCAAGCTAACACTCCACAATCAGAAAGGCTGACACTGCCAATATGCATATCTACCAGCACTAGATAAAATCCCCACAAAAAGATCACCCTGGCTGTAGGTAGGCAGGGCAAGACGTGCAACATGCCTCGAATGCAGATGTTTGTAAGGAACGGGACGCCATCTTGCAGGACGGAATTAGAGCGATAGGACACCGACAGAATGCAAGGTACGATTCTACAAGTCAGAACAGAGCAACAAGTACCTCTGTATCAGCAGCACAGCATTAAAAAAAAACCCCAAGCAAACCGCATCACCCCTGAACTACTCCAGCAGACTCGAGTATGCCTTTTGAAGGCAAAGAGAAGCTTTCTTCCTACCTCCAACCTAGCTTCCCGATGGCTGACAGAAAATTGTTCCCCTAACATTTCCCCATCTAGTTTAATCGGGTCTTCTCCATCGCTGCCATCTAAACAGCAATCATGTCTTCCCAGCCTTTTTATAAAGCCAAGTGTATTAATTAACCTCTTCAGAGGCACACAGTCTTTCGCCCTGATCTTCCAACCAAGCCTTTGTTTCATGCTCATTCCACTCTGAATTAAACCTGAACATGTCCCCACAGGGTACGTGTGCTCTTGCGAGCACGCTGGCTCACTACCAACTCTCAGGGAGAAGACAGATAAACAGCATCAGGAAAGCTGCCTCCTTATTTCTTCAGCCAGAAAGCGTTAACTCACCATATAAATGGTTCAGTTTGTTTCAACATGAAGCAAAATGGGCTATTTTTTGATCAACAGACATACCAAGACATGCCCGCTGGAGAGCATATCCTTGGCCTTCTCTCAGCAGGAACCAAAAGGCACGCAAACGTCTGAGTTGAGTTTAAGGACAGGACAATGTTCCCTTCACACGGAGCCTGCGCTGTGCCTGGAACACCCGCTGTAACCGCAACTGCAGCCAGGCAAACAATACTGCCGAGGCACAACCTACCACAGCTTTTCATACTCACTCGTGGTGATCACTGAAGCTCTGAAGAAGCCTCAAGAACTGTATCTTCAAAGTAATGTCCTAAAAAGAGACAAGAAAGGTAAAAATATTTTGCTTGAGTATTTTTGTGTATCATTAGTTACCAAGATGATACGAAGGAGCTGAATTGAAAACTTGTCCAAATCAAACCCATTTGGACAGCAGAGCAAGTGACTTGCATAAATGGAGAAGACTGCACCCTGCAGACTTCCCAAAACAGAACACAAGTGGAGACTGCCTCCAAGCCTATGCATGTAGCTGTTAATAATTCCTTCTCGCTGCAAAGGCAAAAAAGCTCATCACTGTTTTGATCGATTTCAAATCGATCTAGGTTTGGAAAAAAAAAAACCCAACACAAAAACCCACAAGAAACCCCAA